TCTGGTGGGCAAGGCTTACATGGCGGCGGGTCGAGCTGTTTGCAAGCCTGCACACGATGGCCATCCTGCAGGCATACCAGGCTGAGGGAGAGGCGTTTGAGCAGTATCTCCCCCGCCGGTCTGGGTCCAGGACGGCAACGGCCAAGGAGAGGCCGTAGCTCCTACCGCCAGAGCCAGAAGCGAAGCATCGCTTCCCGTGATCCCTCTCAACCAACCTGGGACGCGAGGCGGCGCTCTCGCCCACAGCCCCAGAGACGACGGATCTGAGGACCATCATTCAGTATCGGCGGGCCCGGGAAAGGGGTCTTGAGGTTTCGAGTAGGTGGGGCCACTACCACCCAGCCGCCTCCCTCCCGCCCCCCCCCAGATTCAAACGGGGTGGTCTAGATGGCAGGGCACGCGGAGCAGAGCCAGGTGTTGGGACAAGAAGTTCGCTCTCTGCTGAAGAAAGGGGCCATAGAACTTATTTCCCCGCCAGTCAGGGAGTCCAGGTTCTACAGCCGGTACTTCATAGTTCCCAAGAAGGATGGAGGGTTGCGTCCGATTTTAGATCTGCGGTCCTTGAACCTATCTCTGAGGAGATTCAGGTTCAAGATGCTCACCATCCCCGCCATCGTCATTCACATCCAATCCGAGGATTGGTTTGTCACGATAGATCTGCGAGACGCACATTTCCACATCTCCATCCGTCCCTCTCACAGGAAGTTCCTGAGGTTCGCCTTCGGGGGCGCGGTGTACCAGTATCGGGTTCTTCCGTTTGGCCTAGCACTCTCCCCTCGCATGTTCACCAAGTGTATGGATGCAGCTCTGGCCCCGATGAGGCTCCAGGGCATCTGCATATTGAACTACATCAACGACTGGCTCATTCTGGCCCAGTCTCGAGAGTTAGCGGTTCGGCATCGAGATGTCGTCCTCGCTCACCTTCAGCGTTTGGGGCTGTGGCTCAATGCGAAGAAGAGCGTGCTGACACCCGCCCAATGGACTACGTTCCTAGGGGTGGTGTGGGACTCAACGACGGTGCGGACCCACCTGTCTCCTGCACGCGTCCATTTTGTCCACAGTGACCAGAGTACAACTAGGCTGCACCATCACTGTGAAACACTTTCAGAGGGTGTTGGGTCTCATGGCAGCAACATCCAGTATAATTCCTTCTGGCCTGCTGCACATGAGAGCCCTGCAGTGGTGGTTAAAATCCAAGGGATTCTCCCGAGGGGAAATCCGCGCCGTCTGATACGGGTTACGAGCAGGTGCCTTCGTTCCCTGTCAGTATGGAGGAAACCTTGGTTCCTGTCCCAGGGTCCCGTGTTGGGAGCGTCATGTCGCCAGATAATTATTCGACAGACGCCTCACTCACGGGGTGGGGCGCAGTCATGGACGGCCGCTTTGCAAGAGGCTCCTGGCAGGAGCATCATTTCTCAAGTTGGCACATACATTGCCTGGAAATGTTGGCGGTTTTCAGAGCTCTGAGGAGTTTCTGCCCGCCCTCCGCGGTCACCATGTCCTTGTCAAGACAGAAAATACGGCAGTGGTGGCCTATTTAAATCACCAGGGCGCGCCCATTATGCAAACTGGTGCATCAGATCCTCCTGTGGTCCCAGCAGAGACTGCTGTCTCTCAGAGCGATGTATATCCTGGGACCCAGAATCAGGAAGCAGACCTGCTGCTGAGACAGGTACTGAGGCCCGGGGAATGCAGACTCCACCCCAAGGTGGTGGAGTGATTGGAGTAGTTTCATTCATAATTCAGCCCTGCCACGCCCAGAGGCGTTCCCATAGTGTCGTCACCGATGCAGTGTCTCGTTCCCCTTCTCGGGGAACAAGGGTTACATACGTAACCCGAGACGTTTTGCGCAAAGTTGTCTGCACCTCCTGGGACTTTTAGGTAATTTATCCCCATTGATGAACTACACAATTAATTATTAATTCATTCATTATTATATCCTTTTTAAACAGCCGGCTACCTGAAATAGACCCGCGAGGAACCGCCATGTGCATGCAGTTGTCGGCTGCACGGAATGCACACAAAATTCTGCACAAGACCGGTGAATGGCAGGCGAGAGAGAGAGAAAAAAAACAATAAGCCTACGTTTGGCTTCAGCTTGCAATCGCTGTGCACAGAAACACACAATTCGACTGTCAGTCGACTATAGGCAGGACTTGACGATTCTGATTCGACTATGTAAATGCTTAGTCGGGACAGCCCTATTGTGCACAATTACATTTGAGTAAAGAATAAGTAGAATTTAATTTTAATAAGCATCGGTGAATCAATGTAATTTAGTATGCGTAAATTAAAGTTTTAACAGTCTTCAACAGACACCTCTGGGCGGACCTCCTAGTTGGCTGGGAAGGACTTAGCAGAAGTCCGTCGGTGGGGGGAAAGCCCTGGTCCAGCGTCCAAAACAAAACGCAGAAGCTTCAGAGAGGGGGACAGGGCTGGGAGGGGTCAGGCGAGTGGGCAGGCAGAATTGAGGGAACAGGGCCAGACAGGGTGCCTGAGGGCAGAGCAGCGGGACCAGGGAGTTCAGGGGGGTGTCCCGAGGGCGGAGCAGGGGAACCAGGGGGTTCAGGCGGGCGGCCCGAAGGTAGGACAGAGGGGGAGCAGGAGAGTTCAGGTGAGCGGGCTGAAGGCAGGACCGAGATGGGGCAAGGAGCCTCGGGCGGACGTCCCAGGGGCAGGGCAGAGAGGGAATGTGGGACCTCAGGAGGGTGGCCCAAAAGCGAGGCAGAGAGAACCTGGGGGGGACCTGAGGCGGGCTTCCCAGGGCAGGGCAGAGAGGGAACCAGGGAGGTCAGGCAGTCTAGAGCCTGAACTAAGGTCCACAGGGGGCCGAGCAGAGGGTTGACGGGGAGGACTGGAGGCCCCAGGAGGCCGGGGAGCGGGGCAAGACCTCTCCAGAGGCCGGGGAGTTGGGCTGAAGGCCGGCAGCGAGACAGCAGCAGGGGGAATCAGGGACGGGACTGCTGGGCTGAGGGCCTTGGTGCGAGGAGCAGGGGTCAGATGGACCACCGACGGGGTTGACGTTGAACGATCCGCCAACAATGCTCGAGGGGCAGGTGTCGGACGGACCACCGATGGGGCTGACGTCGGTCAGTCCTCCAACAGGGCATGAAAAACAGTCTGGGGGCTAGCTGTCCGGGGATCAGGACGAGACGGGGGGCTAGCCGGCCGGGGATCGGGGGGGGGGCAGGCAGGAGGCTAGTGGTGCTAGCAGGCCAGGATCAGGCTGGGGACCAGCGGCGCTAGCAGAGCAGGGTGTGGAGCATGGCACGGACACGGGGTCGGTGAAGCAGGGAGAGATTGCTGGGTCCATGTTGGCTTGATCGTTCTGTTGAGTGTGGACAGAGTGGACCCAAATGCAATGCTCAAGATTAACAGGTTTTATTAGGGGAAAGGAGGTGTTGAGGGACTGGAGTTGAGGGAGAGGTGGATGCCGGGGAAACGCAGGCACGGGGAACCGAGGAGACTGAGACCAGAGAGTCGAGGGACACTGTGGGCTGTAAAACCCCCAGACCCTCCGATCATATATTTCATCAATAAATATTTTTTCTACATAGTATTAAAATATACTCTTGTCTTGTCATTATCCCAATCTTGTGCAATGTCACGTCTCGTGGGCTAAGTTTTTCGTCACACCCCTAATCTGAGCCCTTAAATGTTCACTACTTTTCAACACATTACATTACATAAATTACATTTTTTCATTTAGCTGACGCTTCTATCACGGACACAATGTTGTCTCACAGTGGATTCCAGCTTGGGTGTCTCACACCAAAGGCATGTGTCTTATCCACTGCTCCACCACCACCCCAACACCGCATAGTGATGCCCTTGGGTAGGGTGTGTGCCATGCCGTATTGACAATGATGATGATTACTTCAATTAAGGTCAATGATTATCCTAAAGAGAGGCTGTCACCTACTGCTGGTGATCACTCACTGTTATACAGCGCAGCATAAGCTATTTGACATTGTTTTTGTAACCAGCATAGTTTCCTAATGCAGTCTTAACTATGGCTGTCGTTATGGCTGAGATGAGGTTATTTTGTCAGCATCTCGTTGGCTAATCCCACGCTGCTGTGAAAATGACTTGTAGGCTACTTGTACTTGAGTATGAGTTGTGTACTCCATGGTATGTATCACCATGGGGTCAGTAAATGAGTGTGAATGAGTACACTGATCCTCTTGTACTGGTACACTTATCCACGGCACATACCATTCAGCTGGTTTGGGGGAATATTATAGTAGGTACACACTTAATATGGAAGGATGGTGTATTGGTGAGGGGTGTCCGACCGATTTGCCAGGGCCAATTTTTTTTCCCAGTCTAGCCTGTGTGTGAATATCCTCAGCATGTTCTTTCTTGGTTGTCCTCAGGTGTCCAGTGAATCCCTGTTGCATCACGCTGTCACAGCAGCGGGGCCTTGCATGCTGCTGTAAGAGGCTTGTGTCAAAGTAAAGCAGATCATCCTGCTCGATGACCGTGCAAATCTGAACGGTGTTGATTGGTGGAGCTTGAGAGGTGAAGGGAACTGACTTTTTTAGTGGCTTGTTAGATTTTTTAGAGTTTTACGACTCTAGTAGTTAATGAGTTATCAAATGCATCTATATTATTCTGTGTAAGAATAGTTTTGTATCATTTAGAACTACCATTGTTGGAATAATTGCCAAACTGACCTATGATCAGCGTTTATACTGCTACTATATGAATCCTGACATCTACTTTCTCCGTCTGGATCATCAGATGCAAATACATGTGATGTATGTCACAGTTTGATCAGGCTGTCGGGTGCACCAACTCCAAACAGCAACAGTGAAAATTTGAGTGGTCATTTATTTTATTATGTAACACTTTATACAGAGTAGAATGATATATGTTTTTACAGTATAATACATAATTCAAGTAGTACATGAATATGATTCCATACTTGCATAACGTACAAGGGAAATACAAAAGCATCTTACCATTTGTGATGGTGATCAGTTCGTATAGATATTTTTCTAAATGCACTCATTCATACACACATTCCTCACATGCACATGATCCATCAGAGCGAGACAGATTTAGAAATGATACTGCAGAGACAGACTAAATCTAGAGTCTGAGAATAAAGGTTGTGTTGAGGCCTGTAAACTATGTGTTGACTATGATTACACACAGGACACAAACAGTTTACAAATCTTTTATACACATAAATGCACAATGAAACACATATTTTTAATATTGCAAGATAGAGCATAGTTTGGGGTCAATTTTATGGAAATTCTTTCTATATTCATTTGGACAAAAGTAAAAGTTGCAATTTATGAAAACACAACGATAAAAAAAAATCGGTTGGGTTAAAATTGTGACACAAAATAATTTTTAACCATTTGAGTGTGAACTGATATTTTCATGGCCATCTAAACAGATGAATCAGATCTGTTTATCTAAAAACTGTCTTTGTTAAACCTAAGAACAAAAAGAAACACATTTACACCTGAGTAAAACGGTGTGTTCTTGGAAAACAAATATAGCATATAAAAATTCCAAAAAATGTTGAAGCAGTACAGCGTCTTTCGCATTTATTTATTTATTTCCATTTTGAGGTTGTACAGTAACACCTTAACCTTTTAACATTACTTTAGAAATAAAAAGCATTGGAGGAAGTTATTCATGGATGTCTAGCATTTCTCCAACAGTGCTGGGAGAATAAAATACAAGATATTGCCCACGTTCAGCTCTACTTCATATATTTAACATAGAAAGCAGGCAACACAAGGAAAATGAATGACTGATGAATAATGATATGCATTATAGCTTGTAAAAGGGCAGTCACGCAGATCAGTCTGCAACAGGTGGTTCCTCTGACAAAGACAAGATGGATGGCATTGACAGCATATTTGGTGGGACGATGAGGTCGCTAGTACATTTGCCTCACATCAATAAAAATTATAACAATAATATTGTTAATATTTTCTGTTACAGCAGGACCGTAGTGATTATAAATTACATGCCATTTGGGATGTGAGTAAAACTAAACTGCAAAAAATACAATATGTCACAAACTGAATCTCTGGATAAAAATATGGGCACATTTTATGTTTCTTGTAATATTTTCAATCTATGATTTAATGTGACACACAAAGTAGTGTGAACATAGCAACAATGGCTCTGTTTTAAGCCTGTTTGAATGAGGATCAAAGTTCACAGCAAAAATATTGCTATAATTTCCTTTCATATACATGTATATGTATATACACATGTTATACAGTACATGAGTAGTTTTACAGCAAAACATTACAGAAGTAACCGGATCATAAGTTTTCATATTGAACACTCCTTTTTATAAATACATACCGTAATTTGAAAAAAAACTTTTGAGTTTAACAAGTAAAACACAATAGAGAACGCTGCATAATCTACTAGGAAATGTGACACTGGCCTCTTTATTACAGTTCCATGCACAAAAAATCGTCCAGTTTTAGTCAGAATACTGAAGTAATCTCTCTCTAAAGTGGTGCATGTAAAGGCAGACGGAACAGAAAAAGTCACACTCACAAACTTATTATATGAAAAACCCAAATATGATAGTGGGGATAAACAGATATGAACAGACGTATTGAGCATGACACCTTAGCCAGTTTAATCTTGGTTAAGTCTATCTGTGTACACTCTAACTATTTAGCATTTAATGTATCCTCTTATAGATATTCATGAATGGGATATAAAGTAACAATTTCTGCCAAATGTGTCCTTAATGCAATGTACTGTATGTGAAAACACACAAGTTATCAACACTGGATGTTTCTCTTTCGAGGACATTGCGAACTTATACAGGTGGTTAAAATCTAAAGGTATATTATGCATCTATCACATTTATGTGCTGCCGTGGATCCTTCTCTTTTCCCCCACGACTCCCATGACACACAGAATCTCCCCAGAGCTTTGCTGCCCTTTAAAACAAAAATAAAGTCTCTTTGAGCCCCATATCCAGCTCATTTGCTTAAGTGCATGAGTAGCGGAGGTACTTCTTATACTGCAGCGCAGTCCTTTAGTTCAAAAAACACAAATCTCTGGTGATCTTCAACTGAAACTCCCATCCACAGGTGGCATTCACACAACTTGTCCATCAGTTGCTTTCAGCAGGTTTCAACCAATAGTGGCTTCTGAATGTAGTCACATGGTGCAAAGAGAGAGGAGTCCCTCCTATTGGGTGGCAAAAAGTCTGTTAATGACGTCCATGCTGGTGTGAGGCTGCTGGGCGGCTGTGATGCACCGGTCTGAATTTCGCAGACTGATTTAAGTCAGTGCTACAACTTGTATGTATGTATATGTGTGTGTGTGTGTGTGTGTGTGTGTGTGTGTGTGTGTATGCAGTCGTCTACTTTGTATGTACGTGAGACAAATAAGAGACTGTGTCTGCGAGAGCAGGCTTTTCCATTCCTATTGTAAATCATGTTACACCTGAGCACAATAATGCTCAGTTTCTGCTTTCTGACAATCAGTAGGAGTCGCTCTCTCTCAGATGGTAATGGGGCAGACGATGACTTTGTCCTCCAGCATGACGCTGACGATGAGGAAGACGAAGTAGAGCAAGAACATGAGTAAGCCCAGAATCTTGCTCATTCTCCACTTGCAAGCCGCGATGGATATAATGACGAAGAGCAGCATGAGGAAGAGGAGGACGATGGCGCAGAACAGGCCGTTGCTGCTAACCTGTACCGGCTTGAAGTCGTTGACAATGTTGTAGATGAGCCAGGGGAATGGCAGACTGGAGGGAGATGAGGGCATAAAGGAGTTATTTAGGTTAATTATGAGAGGTGTAAGTTTGTGTTTTCATCTAAAAGTGGATATTGCACTGGCCTATTACACTCTGTGTTTTCTTGTTGTTTATGGACTCACCCCACAGTGATATCAAAGATGTTGGAGCCCACCGAGCTGGACACAGCCATGTCACCCAGGCCTTTTCGTGCTACAATGACACTGGTGATCAGGTCGGGGATCGAAGTGCCAGCTGCTAATATAGTCAGACCCATTATCTCCTCTGTGATCCAGAAAGTTTCTCCAACCTCAAAGGAAGAAAAACTTTCTTAATGTTGCAGCTGCACAGTTTGGAGTTAAGAACACTCTTGTTGGCGTGTTGCTGGTTTGCTTGGAAAAGGATTTGTTTTGGAATTTTGACACAGTTAGTTTTATTGATTTTCAATTTGTTGATGGCATCAGACACATAATATACAAACAAAAAGCAAATATGATCAAACTGTAGAGCTAGATCTGAGGTTATAATAAGAAGGCTGACACTGAAGAGTTTCAGTGAAAAAAACTTGGTGATGAAGACCAGTGCAAGCAGTGCTCCACCACGTTGATCTTCTGGAAAGCATTTTTCCCTTGCTTTTGGTATCTGTGTACTCATGGCAGCTCATATGGAGGCAGTAACATTTTTGTTGCATCTAAAAGTAAGCAAATCTAATTAAATACAATCTTACAATCACTTTAGGCAAAATGTGTCACTTTATGTTTTTTATATATAACACAGATGGTAATATTGTTGTTCTAGTGCACACCAGAGACAGTAAGTGCACACAGTATGAACAAAACAAATCATACTGAGGCGAGAGCTTCTTGTTTGGTACAGCAATTTAAAAGGTATGAGAGCAGTAATGCGACAGGCTGAGATGATACTGATTTATAGTCTACCATCACTTCACCCAACACTTTTGCACACAGCGCTGTGCACCAGAGGGAACTAAAAAAGCATTGACCTTGCACATAACGACCTCCTGCTTGAGACCTGTCGTTACAGTGGTGCCATTAAAATAGAGCATTACAGGTTTATCTGGCTGTGGCTCAAAGCAGATTAGCTGGGATTAGCTGCCGTGGTCACACATTCAACACCCTGACTGCTGCACTCTCATAAGAAAGGCCACAGAAATAGAATAGAATAGGGTGTGTGTGTGTGTGTGTGTGTGTGCGTGTGTGTGTGTGTGTGTGTGTGTGTGTGTGAGTGAAGTACCTGGTGAGCCCACCACACCATCAGGTAGGAGAAGAAAGCAATCCAAGTAATGGAGCCGACGAAAGTGATGGCGAAGAACTTTTTTGAGGTCTGAAAAAACAAACAAAAACAACAATGTAGTTTATCAGCCACTCAGTCAATGGATCCTTCTCTGGTCTAGACCCAGCCAAGAACCTCATACCATACCATAATGTCAATGTATTTGGATTCCAATGCTTGGAGAAGTGTAGCCCAATAGCTAAAATAAAACAAGACTAGAACGTGCCAAAATGATTGAGCAGGACATGTAGTAAAATAAACTAGAGACATGATTAAGTTTTAGTCACAATATGTGTCTTGTATATATTCATTTATATGTTTTCATGTACATAATATGCTTGGGTGTGACTCTCAGCTGATTGTACATGTTTGTGCACATGTAACATGCTTTTGGTTGAATGTGAGTGGGTTGTCACCTCTCTCCTGACGTCTGGCAGTGTCATCCACAGTGGAAGGACGATGGGCAGGATGATGAGATAGGTGATCTGTTTCCTGATGGTGTCGGGCCAGGCCAGGCTGAGAGGCTGGTCTTCATCATCATCTTCCTCACCACCCTGAGGAGGAGTTTACGTGTTCAGTATCAGTATATTAGACAATTTCCTTGAAGGCAATGTATCATGTTAAATTAAGCTCTCGGTACCGAGAGCCTTTAACTTGGAGGAAAGCTAAAAGCCATACCTCATTTCCTGCTACAACACCGTTGGGTGGTGTGACTTCCACTGCTACGTTTGAACTGTTGGGAATGTTTTTATCAGCTTGCGGAAAGAAAAAGGAGAGAGAGAGAGACAGAGAGAGACTGAGTGGCAATAGTGTTTGAGGGACATCTTCAAAAGGACAGTATTCAATAAAAAGTAGTTATCTAATGACATCAAAAGAAAAGCTGAGACTTAGTACAATTTGCTTTTCTTGGAGGTTGTGCCTGGGAGACGGCTCCTATGTTGAGAAACAAAATATGCGAGGTTATTTTCCAAGCTCATCCTCACAAGTGTAACAGAGTGTCGTATGGGATGCCCTTTGTGCCCTTTCACAATGAATTGATCAAATGACAGATGAATTGACAAATCAGTCAGTCAGCTGATGAACAAATGTCAGTTCTTGATTTAATAAAGAAATAGGAAAATCACATTTAAATCAGATAAGTGGATACAAGAGAAAAACAAAGGAGTCATTAATCTGCAGCTTAGTAAGTAAAGTAAATAAATAACAAAAATATGTAAATTAATGATACAATTAAAACTCTTCAGAGACACTCCTCACTTCATGATTGTGAACTACCACACTGTGTGCACTTTATGAAAGATATCACAATTCTGCACTCGTGCCGTCATGACCTATAAAAAAGGTTTCAAGCTAAAAGTGGAGGAAGTTACGTGATGAACAATTTGAAATGATTTGATAATTGATTTGTCACTTGATTTATCAGTTGATTTTTGAGTGGGACAAATTGACTCCCATAGTTTTTGACACATCACTGTTTGTTACTCACCTACACCGTTGGCATTGGCAGCTTCTTCTTTGCACTTCTGCTTGGCCATTTTGTGAAGAATCGACGCCTTTTCTTTGAAACGTTCTAAAACAAAGGAAACTTCTGAAAATTTGTGATGAATTGATGTGAAACTGGGGGAAATGGGCTGGAACTGGGCTGGGACTACTTGCAGGAGGCACAGCTATAGGAATGAAGAAATACTAAGAAGTAGACTATACTAAGAAGTTGGATTAATATAATAATCCAACTAGCCATATACTCATCTCAACCAAATGTGTCCATAAACCTGAGCTTAATCTTCATCATCATAATCTTCACCAAAACTGTTTAAAATTCTTAAATCATTAACCATGACAAGAAAATAGACATTTAATTTGCTGTCACACAGTCTATGTGGAGGAATATAATGTAATATAATGTAATATAATATCATATTATATAAAATCACAATGATTTTTGCTTATAGTATCGCAAGATTTTAACATAAATTCTTGGTTTAGAGATTGTGTTGCATTTGAGTGCATGTGTGTGTTTTGTGCATTTCATTTTGCTTACCCATACCTTCGTCACTCAGGGGGTCCAGTGTGTGGATCATGAGCTGGAAGATGCTGTTTCTCATCAGTGAGTTGTGTAGAGAGGCACAGCTGCCTTCCCTCTGCAGCCTGGGTTTGGCCTATAAAGATACCAACACAAATACCAACATGTTTACATGAATGATGGAAGAATGCATATTTACATTCTCATTAAACATTTGCCATCATTCATCATTTCATTTTATACTAAACACTTCCAAATAACATGAGTGGAGAAAAAAACACTCTGATGAGCTGCATCTTAAATGTCTCTACACATAGGATCTATATCTAGAAAGCCCCTTTCCTATCAAATACTGACTTATATTAAGTAGATGCAGGCACATGAGCTGCTTTCTTATGACACAACCAGTACCAGACCTGGCAAGCTCCACACAGAGAAGTTAACAAAAAAATAAACTCACCGTCAGCTTGTTTTCGTCATCTCCAGGTGCATTTGCCTTTAGGAAAAACACAGAGAAAGAAAACATAATGTGTGTTTTGCAAAATTTGTTGACTGTGTGGTGTTGTTGGATTGGACTGCATTACTGCAATGGCAGGGTGTGGAGGGGATAAGTGAAAGAATTAATTCAATAAGCCCTTGTGACTCCAAAAGTGTTCAAGCAAGTATTCAAACTAAATATGTCTTCAACTCCTCACACCCTGGTCACTCACCAGACCTTCACGAAACATTGAAAAACAAAAGCAACTCCTAAAGCAAGGATACAGGTTTTAATTCAACTGCCCTACTAACTGAAACCAAATCTTTCAGCATCATGTTTTAATTCATCTTCTAGATCAAATATAAGGAGATTATATTTTAAAATGGACCAGTGGTAAGGACAAGTAGGAATAATGGCACGAGCCCCATTTAACCCCTTTTAAGAAGAACAGTCTCAGCCTTTAACCTTCACAGCTAATTTGCTTTATCTACTGTATATAGCACATTCCTCTTCCTTTGTGTGTGTGTGTGTGTGTGTGGGGGGGGGTGGGGGTAGACATCCATCTTTCCTCCTTTTCACGGTGGGGGTGAACCGGTGCCAGAGGTTTTGGGTCTCGTTCCAACATAAAGGCTAGGTTCCTACACACACACACACACACACACACACACACACACACACACACAAATGCAGGGGAGGGCTCATGCTAAATCTCAACCTCAGCCATTTCTTCAGAGGACATATACAGCACAGCGGTGTCACCACATAGAGAAACACACACATACACTCACACAAACAAGTTGGTGTGGGAATCATGGATGTTTCAAGATTTTCAAGGTTAAAGGTTTGTTTTATTGTCAAATGTAAATGTAAATAGTTTTTTTGGTTTATCCACTTTTAAAGTTTATATATTATAGTTATGACTGGAATAATAATTTCCATTTTGAGTCATGCACACAGATCAAAACCATCCACTACATTAGCTAGTCATTCAGTCTCTGCAGTTTTCCTGTAGAGGTGGTTGGCATCAGATTGAGGCAGACCATACTATGATGTAAAGTGTCATTATCCTCTAAAGACAAACTCAGTAAAAAAAGAACTACAGTAAGGAAGCTGCTCAGATCAATCACACGCACGTTTTCTCCATGAAACCTGGGCGAACTTTATTAGAAAAAAATTGTTTATGTTTTCTGACTTGGTTAGACATTAAGTAAAAATGATGGTTGGGACCAAAACCACTTTTTCTTGACAGTGTAACTTCAGTGTAACAAATAAAATATAAATTCACAACCAATCCTGTATACACTGGTGGTCAGTTTGCCTAGCCATTCAGTCACGTTAGATTTAACTAATGTTCTGAAGTTTTATGCGTATTAAAGGCTTCAGAAAGATGCTTTTGCACTTGTGTAATTCCTGGGAGTAAGAAATAAAATAAAATCCAAAGTATACAACAAATGAACAAACTGTCATTTTCTTTGTCTACTGTTCAGAGCTCAAGGTTTGTATGAACATTTACAATGCCAGATTTATTTTTTAAATTGTGCTAAACAAGTAAATGTGCTTTCTAGGATGTTACAGCAAACAGAATGAAAGATATCTTAAAATGGGCCTGCTATTGTCCTGGGTACAGTTTGCTTTGTATGAAGGAGGCACGCAGCAGCCTTGTATTTAAAAATGATGGATGTGGATGGATATGGTACGTTACGATCATTCTGAATCTTAGGAGCTACAATAGCACTATTTTGTCTGTGTGCCTCATCTTTTTCCTAAAATAATGCTAAACTTCATATGGAGTTAACTCACGCAAACAATTACACAGCCGAAGTAACTCTTCCTTTGCTTTGCGTACACTTCCTAATTCATATTATACAGTAAAAAAGTCCTACCAAGACAACCAAGCGCTTAAGAAGAATCTAACTCAATCTTTGAAAAGCAGATCACAGATCACCAACACCAGGCAGAGAGGTGGAGGGTTTTGTTGTTGACACGTTTTCATGATGGAGGCCGCAGAGTTTGAGCAGATAATCCCTTTATCTTGCATCTGACAGGACACCTGCTGCTGTCATGGCAGCTACAGCGAGGCTAAAGCTAAGGGTTTCTTTTTACTGTTAACAGGGGTATCACTCCTATAGACTTGTTATATTTGTCCAATGCAGATTCATTTGAATGTATTGTTTCAGTTACTCCCCTGGATGGTTAAATAATGTTCATGAATTTCATTCAGCTGTTCAGTTCACCTACTTAGACTTATCAAAATCAGCTAAAACACAGGATGTCATTTCAGAAATGTGTGAAACTGATGTCTTTTCACTAAAGATGGAGGTATTTCATGCTGCTGTTTTTTTTATAGAATCATTCTTATTAAACAAAATGAACAGATTCATTTTGAATTTCAGGTTAATGAGGTATGATGTTTGACCATACTATGTTATGATGTCTGACACTTTTTATATTTAAAGCTTATTTTATATCTCTATTGCATTTTTTTCATTGTATTTTTATTTATACATATATTTCATTTTACTTTTAATGTAGGCATTTGATGTGGACAGCAAAGTTAGAATTTCAGTGTACAGGGAAACTTGAAAATCTGACACTTTGAATCCTTTGAATGAAAAAGAAGAAGCTGTGGACACCTGGCTGCACTATCCATGTGATTGCTGAGCTCCAATAGCAGAGGACAGCTTGGCATTGGTTGATGATGGTTTGTGCTACATGGCTCCTGAGAGTTGCTTGATGACAAAAGTCACTTAAAACGTGCTGTAGAATCTGTTGTAACCTAAACTGGATTTTAATTATTGTCCTTCATGTTAAAAAAATGGTTTAAGTAACACCTTCATCCTCCAAAGCCATCAATCTAAAAACACCAACACTTAGTTAGTAGGCTTTTTCTTGCACAGTCTACATAGATGTTGCATTTTGTAAAATGTTTGTATTTTGCACGGTAACTTATTTTAAAATGTTGCTAATCTTTGTCACCTTTGTCCTTATTTCACTCAGCTATCATCTCCACTGATGTATTTCCAAGGTTCTAGAGCTCCTCTGCTGGAGCTGCAACCTCTCCTGTCCCACGTGAATCACCACTGACTAATCACCCCAAATCATTCTCAAATCACTTCCAGCCAGTTATGTCATTTAAACAAAAAATCAGCTCGTCCAATGCCTAATTATTATTATTTTTTTTTTTGGCATTCCAGCAGGGTGCAAGAAAAACATCATTGCACAGAGAATTTGTCTTAACTTGTCCTTTTTGTTAAAAAGCACATCTCATCACTGGCCATTTCCTGCCATTAACATGTTCAACAGCTGTAACTTATGAAGCATAATTTTAATGTCTTTCTAGATTAAAACTTTGTCTTTGGTCTGATATTCATCCAGACTATAAGTTATTGCAAGCAGAGCTTCTTCATGTTATAAAAAAGAGTTTTTTGGGACCCATAGATGATTTGTTTACAATAAGAAGAAAGCTCCCAAAATGCTTTCGTCTGCTCTGCTGTTCCAGGTCACTGGTCTCATCCCTGGTCCAGACGAGGAGCTGCAGACACTGAAAGCCTCTCAAATCCTACAATCCTAAAGATTTGCACTAAACTTTCTCTTCATCCCACTCATCACCATCACTGTCATCATTGATGCACAATCAGATCACCTTTTCAAATCTCGGAACGCAATATTCCCAAATTTCCATTTTCTTCCCTTGTTCTCTCTCTCTCTCTGTGTCTCTCTGTGTCTCTCTCTCTCCAGTGCCGACCTGACTGTCCGAGCTGTGGGACTTAGTCAGGATTAATCTGCAGAGATCACCGCTTTTAGACTTTGTAATTTTCAAGCCTCTGTGTGAAGTCCTGCAGCAACCTTCAATGCTCTCAAACATTTCTCTTTCGCTCTCATCTGTCAGCAAATAACAACAATCATATTTTTTAATATTCGCAGCTGCTCATTTTATCTTTAATTTCCACTGCAGTCAGTAAGCACTCAGTGCTCAACACAACACCTCAACAGTTATAAATACTTGTCTTTCAACAAACAGCTGATTCATGTTTAGAAAGCAGCATTTTGATCATGAGCACAATGATCTGAAATTACAAAGTCAGACCTGCTGTGGAACTGAAGCAAACAGCTGCAAGTGTAAAACCAATCAAGTAATCTTTGTGCTGACCCCAGAACTGAACCAACCAAAAATGTGTGACTATCGTTAAAAAAAGGTTTTATTATTTCAGCTGTAATATGTTGAATAAATACATTAAAAGGCAATGTGTATCTACAGTATGGTTCATGAATATTAAAAACCTTATTTATGTGCAGCAGTAGAACTATAATAAGTAAAAATATGACAAGTAATAACTATTGATGAATTCATCTTCCTTTGCTATACAGATACTTATGTCAAGAAAACCCTTAGTTTAACTGTTTATGAGGGCGTGGATGCACAACACTGCTGCATTGTGATCCAGGTCTGATATCGATGATTGTAAGGAGAATTTTAACATTTGTTCTCTGTAGACACTGAATGACAATGTGCTGGGCTGTATGTTTGCTGTCGTCACTGAAGGTAAGCAGTTGATTAGGGGATCAGAGAGGATTATCGTCTTTACTGCCATCAGTGAGCAAACCAGCAGATCTTCTCTCTCACCCTTTATACATTGACACTGTAGGCACTGAATGTACTGTGCAAAACCACCTGCAACACTCCCCCGACCATGCACAAACTAAAAAAAAAAAATAAAAAACACAGCTGCGGGCTGAGAGAGGAGCATTCAGTCTTTTATCTCAGTGATGCTCCTGATTCCTGCTCCCCCAGGGACCGTCTAACTATAATTAGCGTCTCTAATGGGATTGAAGAGCATTAACCTGGGGGATTATTTACCAGCTAGCGACACATGAGGGCAAGGCAGTTGGACATCAAGTGCCGGACGACAGAAAGAGAAAAGCTGTTCTTGGGCTGAGGTGAGGCAGTCTGAAGAACAGCTGATTCCCAGAAGGGCACAAATGTCAAACAGAGCTTGTCCATCAGAGCACTGATTGTGACAGAGGCGGGTGAGCATTCAAATAGACTGTATGTGCTCACAAGTTTAGAATAAAAAGAAAAACTTTACAAAAGTGGCTTAGATATACTACACAGTACACGTGATATACTTAGAGCCTTAGAAAAAAACGTTATCGTTATTGTCAGTAACTGATTGTTGGTGAACGGATTACAATGAAATAAAAAATACAGTTTTCTCTACCTGAATATAATGAAAGAAACTGAAAAGTACTAAATCAACTATCAATGATCTGTCATCAGGAAAAGAGGCTAAACAAATTAGATTTATGTTTATATATTAAGTGATCAATAAGTGATCAATATGCAGAAAGAATAGTCCCTAAAGAAAAGCAAGTCATGCTTATTGGAAAGTAGATTAATTAGCATTTAGGGGAAGGATCTTTAAAGCAGATCATACCAAACTGGACACAGGTGATCATGAGCTCATGTGTTACCTAAAAGTTCTACTGGCCTGAATTACTGCCATAAAAATAGTCTTTCTAAGAAGTGTTTTCAACCACTTGTGAATCTGAAGAGTTTGTTCTGTATACATGTTTGAGCACAACACATCAAGTAATTCGCCTGTTGTGATTTTTTTTTTACATGATCTGTAATTAATGTTTCCAGAAAAAGAAAAGCCAGATGTTGTGCAACAGAGCACTGTATATGCCGCTGAAGAGCTGGTGATGGGTGATGTCAGTCTAGGCTACGGGCAAGCTGCTCTAAGATCAGCCTAAAGTAGTTTTAGCATTTGTCACCTGAGCGCCGTATGAGATTACAACATCAGAGAGCAACAGATCTGACTCCAACTGCACACACAGACAGAACAAAAGACGGAGAGACAAATGTGAAAAACAAAATAGCTTCATTGTGTGTATGTACGTGTGTGTGTGTTGAACCTTTTTGAATCTTGTATTCATGCAGTCTCATTCTCTATGTGTTATTTATAAACACAGCAGCAAGCAGCACAATGAGCACTCCAAGCTAACCTTAATATTACACTTTCTAGTCATCTTCTCATAGCTGACATGAAGTGATTAGTGTTGTGATGGTGTCTCCTTTCAGAGACAAAACACTAACGTCACACTTCCAGAATGATAAATAAAGTGTTTTCAATTGTAAAAACTCTATACGTTCTTAAGTCTTCCTTACATTATGACGCCATATACAGAGGCATTCTGGATTTGTGTGTAATAGGATCATTGAGCACAGCTGCTTTGAAATTATGAGCTAATCTAGAGGACAAAACAACATTCAGAGCTAGGGCCTTTTATCCAGAGTCAAGAGACCACTTTTGCCAATGTCAGGACAAATATGAGAAGAGCTAAAGGAGGAAGCGTGCTGAAGATGTTGAAGAGATGCAACAAGGATGTCCGGGCTAATTTCTTCTGCTTTCAGTGTTGACTAATTTTATCATACAGGATGCTCTCAGGAGCCCATCCCTCTCACAACTATTATCATTATTATTATTATTATTTACTACAATTATTCAAAAACAACCCACAAAGGACTTTGAAATGATTAACTCCTAGCACAGAATTTAGAAATAACCATGAATGTGATATTTTGCAAAATTGCATTGTTATTTCCAATGTTCTGACTGGCATTTGTGAAAATGTGCTCCCATTGTTACTTGCAGGAACTAATTTCTAAATTGGATGAACAAAAGGATAGCAGGATTTCGAATAGATATTGATTACACTTTCAGGCTTGTATAGTCCCGACCACTTTAGGGTAGATATGACTGGCAAATTTTAGAAACAGCCTCTCAGAATTGATCATCTTCACTGAACATGATGGTAAAATATCTTTGCATTTTAATCCCATTTACGGAGTGGCACTGTTACCTCTGTTACATCAGCCCTATTCTAGTCTGAACTTTGTGACTAAAATTAGTGACTGAAGACGAGGCCAGTTCTTAGACTTAGTCAGCACCAAAAGGCCTATCTGGCGCTGCTTCTGGCACTGTCCGATCTGCACAGGTGGTAGGTTAAGACAAATCTTTATATCCTTCCAGAGTGAAATTTGGGAGCACTTTGCTGCCTATCTGCTTCTAGCATAACACCCTCTCAGATTCCCAGAACAGCAGCATTATTATTCTCATGGTCAGTGGCTGTGACAGGTTCACTCTGTGATCTTGTTCATTGTGAAAATACCAATGCTTTTCTCAGATCAGTCATCAACAGAATCCCAGATTTCAACCTAGAGACACTGAAAAAAAAACATATGAAATGTCATAACCCCATCCGCATCAGAAACTCGTGTCAAGAATCACAAATGTTCACTTGTACACAAAAAACCCACTTCTTTAACATTTTGAATCTCAGTTGGATATTTTCCACTTTTAAGAGGTTTTCACTCAATTTTTCCTGCTCTCTCGCAAGTTAAAAAGTCACTAAAGAATCTAAAACTTCTTGATGGTTGTTTCTGATGCAGATGCTCCTTCAGTGGACGGAGGGGTCGATCAGTGAACAAGAACATTGGGGTAAATGTATGGGTATAGAGGATGAATGTAAGGATGAGCTGTTGGTTCCCAAGATGGAGTAAAAGATGGGTGCTGTTGAGCATAAAGTGGCAAGAGTAGGTGGGTATCTAGAGAGAAGGAATAGAGGAAGATGGATGGGTGGATGGATGAACAGATGAAGGAGTCAGACTCACCTTTGGTGCAGCCTCCAGCTCGTCCACCTGGTTGCTGCCCAAAAAGCCCTTGATGACAATTTCTACTTTGGCATTGAACTTCATGAATGTCACATAGAAGCTGTAGCACATCAACAGGCCGATACTTTCCCCCAACGTGATTTCATTATCCAGAAAGAAATAGATGAGCATGAGCAAGCCAATGATGTAGAACGAGACATCTCTAAACAGAGGCCACCAGGTGAGGTTCAGCACCTCTTTGGAGAACAGGGCGCACATCCCGATCACAAACAGGATGTTGAAGACGGCAGAGCCCACAATGGTACCGATACCCACATTGCTGTGGGAGATGAAGACTCCTATGACTGAGGTGAAGAGCTCTGGGGCTGAGCCACCTGCCGCCATGAAAGTGGCTCCTGCTACATCATCAGAAATCTGCAGCTTCTCTGTGATTACAGTGAGAGCAGGAACAAAGAACTCATCGCAGACAATGGCTAAGGCTATGAACATGTACAACATGCCAAACATATGAAAAACCACATAGCCCTTGCGTCTGTCCTCCACACTGAAGTAGTCCGTTGGGTAGTCCCCATGATTCATCTCTAAATCAGCCGATTGCATGGCCAGTGGTGTGTCCTCTAGTGCGACTGAGAGGTTTTGGTGCTGCAGCAGAGTTCTTTGGGGCACTGCTGCCTCAGGTGAGCCCTCAACGACCGACTCCAGCTCCTTGGCCACTGTTGTAGCCAGCGACAAGGCACTCCATGAGAAGACTGTGCAGACCACCAGCAGGCTGATAATGAAGCCCAGAATCCGTCCGGGCCGCAGCTTTCTTTTGACACCATGGTACTGGTGCCTGGTCCAACTGCTGTGAGGGCCCAGAAGAGGCGCAGAGCCGGAGGAAGTCATAATTTTTTTACTTCTTATGGGTAACATGAAATCCATGGTGTTTGGCGCAGGTTATCAGGCAGAGTGGATGTGTATGGAATCCCCCCCAAGGGTGCTTTGATGGTGGCTACGAGGGCGGGGGTTTGACAGGCCGCGATGGTTCACCGATTTGTTTGCATGCTGCTTCCCAGTCTAACAACAATGGAAGCCCTGCAGTGTGATTCCAGGATCCAGCCCATTCAAAGGCTTCCTCATATTACTCACTGCAAGACAGAGAAAAAATAAGTGATACACATTTTAATGTAATGAAGCAGTAGAACTACATTTTAAGTCAATGTATAAAATTAGATCATACATAAAGGAAAGATTCATAATAAGTATGAAGATGTCTTCTTTCTAACTTTTTCCACTCCTGATATCCATCCACTTACAGGCCTTGTCAGCAATGGTACATTCACTTCAGTACTTTAGTACTTTTCTGCTGCTTTCTACTACTACTCCACTACATCTCAAAGGGGAAATATTGTAGTTTTTTTACACCACAATATGCATTTAACAACTTACTTTGCAGATAAAGGTTTTACATACAAAACATTTGATGATTAAGATATGTTATGTTGTTTAATGTGCTACTAGATTAATCTACCTTACAGTGTATAGTTACTTGCTACATAAAGATTTTGCTTGCATGTTTACTCATCAGTCTGTAATAATGTAACATTCTGAAAAGGGCTATTTCTTTTACTTTTTTAAAATACATTTAGCTGATAATTCTTGTGTATTATTACTTCTGAAGTCATACATTTTATTAAAATTTATTTTTACAGTGTGGCATTGGTAGTTTTTCTCAAGTAAAGAGTATGAATATTTGTTAGATGGCTTAGTCACACCATTTTACAATAAATACATGATAAGTCATTATGTGACTAATGACCTTTGTCGAACTGTCTAGATAATGGCTCAACATTATGCTACTGAGCTTATGTGAACTTCGAGGTCTATATTTGGGTCTGTTTCTGATGGATTACAGGAAATTAATGTAGATTATTTTATACAACTCAGATGAATAATAATCTCTGGGCAGGTTATTCTCTGTAGACTAGTTATTAAGTTGATGGTTAAAAAAGTAGTTTGGAAATCCAGTCAGTGTTCATGTGACTCAGCACAATTACTCAAATGTTAATATAAACTTTCCAAAAACAACAATCTTCAAATAGAAAACATATTTAAGAGGACAAATTCTTTGGAGCTGAAATTCTTTAATTGTATTGTGGCTGTAATTACGGTACATACTGTATTGCTAGTAAGAGTTGATAGTAGCAGTATTAATAGCAGCAGTTCTATTCTGTGGCCTATTGTGCTGAGAACCTGCAACAAGATGTCAACTTTAAGTGAAGCTTGGACATTACTGAAAGCTCATTAGTAAGCCAAATAAATCCCTGAGAAGACATACTTAGATTAGCCTCTGGCCCTGCACACCGATGCTACTGCACAAAGTCAAAAGGTAGAAACCAAGAAAAAGATCAGTGAATTAGAGGTACTACTAAGAACTGCTGAATATTAGCATTTTTCAGGTGTGTAACAACTACACTGGGACAAACTGCAATGTTGAAACTTCCTCTCACGAGTCCTTAACAATGTCCCGTCTCAATCTGCTGTAAAACACATTTTTGTGAACATAGCATTTCAGAAACTCGCTAGACTCTGTTAGGACATTGGAGCAAAGACACACCACAACTACACACAACAACTACACAAATATTTTTTTTTCTCATACCACACTTGGAAATCTCCCATTCAGTAGGAAGGACTCCAGCAAGTAGCAGGTAGTGAGTCTCTGAGTGAATATTCCAGTTAATTGAATCTCAAAGGAGGAAAGTCCCGAGAGCTCAGAGTTCAGTCTAAAGGTCCCAACAGTAAATCCTCAGTGAGATTTTCAGCCAAGGTGGAGCTCCAAGACACCAGGTCAGAAGCCCAGGATCAAGGGCTCCTCCCTCCTTCTCAATGTTCCTCCCCCCTATGATACTGCCTCCCTCCTTTCCTGCTTCAGTACATCTTCCCCCCTACCTTTACCCTCCTTGTCTTCTCTCTCTCCATGTCCAAGAATGAGGATCAGCGCTATCACTGTCTGTCTTCCTTCCTTCCTCTCTCCACCCATCCACCTGTTCGCACCTCCCCCAGTGTATAATTTCTTCCCATCCCAACACCCAGGCAAATGTCTTATACAAGGAGCTTACAGCTTGATGGGGGTATTGAAGTCTATAGTGCCATGAGATTATAGTGATGTTCCCAAATGCTTTAAAAAACCAGCCCAGTGACTATGTAATGTAAAATACTGCAGCAGCTTTATAACTTTTGCAAACTTAAGATGACATAAGAGACATTTTTAAGCCAAACTTTAAGCATGTTTGAATTTACATGTATCGATAGTTTTGTTGTCATTATATGCATTTTATTTATGACTTTATGACTTTATTTATAATAATTTCCTTAGTTTATTTTAACACATTTCCAATTCTTGACACCATTGTGCAGTGTTGTTGTTTCTTTCAGAACATTGCAAAATTTCAACAGACACATAAGGTTTGCACTGCATGTTTCAGTGACAAACAGCCATTTGTTGGAAATGACATCACCATGCCCTCTGTCTCTCAATTCCTGTATGTCTGTAATTGGCTTTGGTTGCAAAACAATCCATTCACTGACACACGCTAACCTGGACCCACATACTGAATGTGTTCCAGCAGATATAATATGGTGTTAATGCTCTCTCCTTATTTTACCAAAGGAAGCAAATGAGTCATGTGTACAAATATTTAAAATAATAATACATTTTTGATTGAGCGGTGTGCATATGTGTTATGTGTGAGTGTGTGTGCACACTTCAAGTCAGGTCAGGATTTAAAGATGAGAACTGTAAGCTTCGGTAGCCACCTGAAGGTGAGTTCAAATGGTGTGACCTGTACTGTTACGTAGCATGTCATGTCCTGAACATACCACTAACTCTGCAGGTGCAGTCTGTGTGTGTGTGTGTGTGTGCGTGCGTGTGTGTGTGTGTACACATTACTGTCTGTAATAGAGATAGAGAAAGATTGGCTAATGGTTGTGTTATTAAAGTTAAAAGAAAGTAGTACCAATACACCAAAATACCAGTACAATAAAAAATAGATAACTTTGAATAAGAGTTTTGAGTTGAACAATGAAATAAAGACTCAATACCATGAAGATTTATAAGAGTGGTGTGAAATACCATATAAAGCATATAAGCCCACTGGTATTAGATCAAACCAGACCTACATAATACCTATTGTTTTTCACCTTCTACTGTTCTTATCCAATTTAAGAGGAGTATACTTAATGCAATAGGCCGCTAACTTTCCCTCACAAGCAAAATGTAGCTCTTGATGGTCCACAGTCTGTCTGTTTCCTCAGCCAGTCAAGACCAATAAAAACAATTCTGCACAGAGGATGATGAAGTTTCAGGATTTTCTCTGGCTATATGTCCAGGGACCATATCTGTTGTGTCCTCTCTCTATATTTAGTACAGTGTATTTATTACCATGCTGTAAAACACCATGGCAATGCCATGGCCCAAGGTTACTTGTTTGATCTCAGTAAGGATTTGGGCCATAGCTGCTATATTAGGGCCTATGTAAAGAAAAGGCTAAACATGTTACATAACCAACCAAGCTGACCTAACCTTCTGGGTAGGCTAAGGTACATCACCTGCAGAACTTGAGATAAAAGTAAGTCTCTTGGCATGCAGAATAAACCTCACCAGACATTTGGTAGCTCTTCTCTTACAAAAGAAATAAGTTACCATACAGAGATTTAGCCTAATTACAATTGAACACAAACATTAGCACAGCCTTGGTTGACCGTGATTTGCATGAGACAGTAATTTTCCCAGTCCATTCAATTATTTGTTTTTTTGTACATCACAGTGAGAAGTGGCACACATGCTAAATCATTTTGCAGTGGTAGGCAAGGCAGAGACACGTTAGAGAGACAGATTCATGTTCTTCTGTGAAGCTGGGATCAGCAGCAGCTTATTGGCTAAAGCTTGTGCCTGAAATAACTGGGAAGTTACAGTATATATAAGTTAAAGAGAGGCCATCTATCTGTGAGCAGGGAGAGCCCAGGTAATCGATGAGATCTATAATGACTATGAATCTACTATACTATAAAAAAATTACCTCCCTTTAAGAGAACTGACTGTTCACTAAGCCCTGCCCCCTTTAATTACTGTTGCCTGTCAAGCATGCAGTTGCATTCTTAGAAACCTTTGAATTAATTCCCTGATATTAGACAGATGTAGACAAAAGCAATCTATTTTTAGTACGACAATGGATTTTGCCAGCTATTGCTGGCAGATTTATCAGCTGTAGCTGGCTAATCTCAGCTAACTTTAGCTTCATTAGTTGTTGGGAAACAGTGTCTCCGGCTGACTTATGGTTTACTTGATATCATGCTAAAAGACTGAGGCCAAGCTAAATGCTCAAAGCAAATATTTAATAAATACATAACTCTGTTTGATGACTTAGCTTACTTGGACAAGGTTCATTTTATTTCATTTCATTTATGCTTTATTATTCATATTTCATACTTACAAACCCATGAGTAATATCTTTTTTTGGGTAACATCTTTTGGCTGGGCTTAGTGAAGTGTACTGTAACAATAAAGCAGATCAGAACTGGAAACAGAAACTTACCCTGAACTCTGACATTAGCATCAAGGCTCTCACACAGTGGATGTACATAACCTTCTAGTGTCTGCGTGGGTTCTCTCTGGGTGCTACGGCTTCCTCCCACCGTCCAATGTGGCCTAGGTTGATTGGTGACCGTAAATTGTCCATAGGTGTGAGTGTGAGTGTGACTGGTTGTTTGTCTACATGTGGCCCTGTGATGGATTGGCGACCTGTCCAGGGTGTACCCTGCCTTTCGCAGAATAAACGGTTGACGATGGATGGATGATGGATAAAACCCTTTGAAAGGTCTCCTTGAGCTGGGGAACATAGTTATAGATGCTATTTCCAGCTTATGTATACAAATAGTATAATGTATTTCTTATATTTTTTCCAGACTTGTGTTTTTGATTTTGGAAAGGCAAAAAAACAAGAGCATTGCTCTTACAACAACCTCTCTTTAACATGTGGAGAAATCTTGTCAGGTCTGCCACTTTTATCCAAAAAAAAAGCAACTAGGGATTAGATGTCTTACTCAGGATTTGTCGCAGTGGGAATTGAACCTA